TGACGAGGAAGCATTGTAATCGTAAAAAGTGAGATATGCTTTCTGTATGTTCTATGGTACGTACATCAAGAAAAACCATTTCAATCATTCCCATCGGTCTGTCTGCAAATTCTTGGCCCATTATTATCGGGCCTGAAAAGTACTGCTCAGACTTGGATGAAACTTTCACACAAGTTTACGACTATGCCAAGAACGAAAGAGCGTTGTTTAGATGTTTCAGAGGTTTCTGATCTTTTGCGGAGGGATTAAACATTTGGGGTTGGGGTTGTAGGGTTAGTACGAGGGATGTCTTTTAACGATGCTTTTAAGTTTTGCATATAGAAACATAGTAGGCCGCGCGGATCGGACGTCAGTACTGAATCTTAACCTCACTCTTTAGTAAACTTAAATTCAAAGTTTCACAACGATACGTGCACTGTTCTCACTACAGTGAATTTTTAAGTGCCACCAAGTCATTAGAAATATGGAACTCAACCGAGAACATTTTCGCGCCATAATTTATTACAACTTTCAGAGACAATTATCGCAACAAGAATGCCTTGCTGAGTTACTGTCTGTGGCGCCACATCAGTCGACAATTTCCCGTTGGTTTGGAGAATTCAAACGTGGACGGGTGAGTCTTAGCGACGATCCTAGGGTGGGTGCACCAAAAACGGCAGTCACCCAGGAAAACGTCGATGCTGTGCGCAAACTCATCATCAAGATAGACATGTGGCATGTCGCGAGATTGAGGCGTCCTTGAAGATCTCAAAGACCTCAATTCAAAAAATTTTACATGAAGAATTAGGAGTAAGAAAATTAGTTTCTCGTTGGATACCCCACCTGTTGACTGAAGAGCAGAAAGCAGCCAGGGTTAACTGGTGTCAGAAAACGCTTGACCGTTTCAATTTCGGAAACCCAAAAAATGTGTACAGCATTGTTAGTGGTGATGAATCGTGGATTGACTGTTATGAACCAGAAAATAAACGACAGTCGGCTGTTTGGGTGTTCCAAGGTGAAGAAAAGCCAACAAAAGTCATCCGTTTTCGAAGTGTTTCGAAAAAGATGGTCGCGACATTTGTTTCAAAAGCGGGTCATATTACAACAATTCCTCTTAATGAGCAAAGAACTGTTACTGCGGATTGGTATACCACCATTTGATTTCCAAAAGTCATCACCGAGCTTCGAAAAATCAACCCCGAAAGAAGAATCATCCTCCACCAAGACCACCATTTGATTTCCAAAAGTCATCACCGAGCTTCGAAAAATCAACCCCGAAAGAAGAATCATCCTCCACCAAGACAATGCAAGCTCGCACACAGCCCTAAAAACAAGGCAGTATTTAACGGAAGAAAACGTGGAATTATTGGACCATCCTCCATATAGTCCCGATCTAAGTCCTAACGATTTCTTTACTTTCCTGAAAACTAAAAACAGCCTGCGTGGTCAAAGGTTCCAGTCACCAGAAGAAGCAGTTGACGCATTCAAAAATGCCGTTTTGGATCTGCCAGCAAACGAGTGGAATAAGTGCTTCGAAAATTGGTTCGAGCGCATGCAGATATGTATTAATCTTCGTGGAGAGTACTTCGAAAAACAATAAAGTCATTTAAAACTACCTACCGTGTTGTGTTATTTCCATATGCAAAACATCCCTCGTAGTACATTTATAGGCTTCCAACCCCACTAATTATATGCACCTATCAGTACATGAAGGGTACAGGGGAAATAAGATGAATGCCACAAAAAGAAAGTTTTGGGAAAAGTGAATTTAAAAGTTTGAAGACTCCTAGATTCGTACTGGGTGGGTAAATGATCTGACAGAGTACCATAAATTCCTTATTATGAGTTGAAAAATGTCAAATTATAAATAAAAAAAATATTTTCTGATATACAGGGTAGCCCAAAGTGAAACCAGACCAAACATTGTTTGATGGAAAATCCATTTTATTCCTATATTTTGGGATTCTCCTTGTGATTTTACACATTTTTTATATGTTACCGTCCATGCCTGAATTCAACTTTTGATATTGTGGCTAGAAATGAGCGTTTCGTCATACGCGACACCCCGTAAAATCTAAGGGTTGATTAACCAGCAAAATGCCTATCTTAGGTTTTACGATCTGTTGTAATATGAGAACTCCCTTAACAGGAAATTCATTACATAGGTCCTAAGTCATAAGAATATTTCTAGCCTCAATACAATAGCTCAGACTCAATTAGTTCTAAGTATTTTTTTAATTGGGACAGGGAAAAACAACGAACTAAAAACTCTTTATTCAACAGAATATGGAACAGAACAAAATGAATAGTAACTGCTTAAAAACGATTACTTAACGTTTATTTCTATCGTCGCAGATTGGTGTATGGTAAATTGTTTCGGTGAGTTCGAAAGTTTTCAATTAGGTATAACTACGAACTGTCATTATTTTTGCGTGTTTCCGGTATCTCATGGGATTGTAATGCGTTAAGACTACATGTTTTAACTACAAAACACCAAATTTGTGACTTCTATTTTTTTGCTCTGTATATCTCTCGACACTCCGCTGCTTGCGCTGGCCAGCATAGCATGGCTGACGTTGCCAGATGGTCGGTACTTTCAGTAAGGGCAGGGAAAAAGCTTCTACGGGTCAGCTTTACCAAATGGGTCGAACTATGGACTAATTGTATGTGCCTGATTATAAAAATAATATTTTATGATCTGATGCGTTGTAAAATCAACGTGCTTAATGCCATTTTTTTCAATTGCAAGTGTTTTCTTTAGCAACAATTTAATAACTGAATTTCGATCCTCGAAGTAAATTTAGAGAAGTCCTTGCCGTCAGATAATCCGCTATGATTAATTTCGTCACATCTATCATAATTTCGATATACTGGGTGCAAACGTTATGGTAGTAATAAAAGGATCAAAACAAGTCAAAAAGTTCATATGACCCATGGTCCAAAAGACAATAGATTTTTGTCTAAATGGCTTTATAGTTTACAACTTCAAGTGCTTTATATCGACCACAATCACCACAATCTTACTAATTTTTATAATCTAATCTAAAACGTTTTTAAATTCGGTAATTAACAAATAAATGGCATTCAGTTTTTCTAAGTTAAGCCAAAATTTGTAGTCGGTAAGTAAGCAAGTTTCATTAAATTAAATATTTAAAACACACATGGCAACAGCGCGTCGGCCTTTCATCACTCTTATCGAACCGGCAATGGATCGCAAACGGTAACAGTGGTTAGTTATCGGACATCGGGCCTGTTGTTTTGTTTTTGTTCGCGTACGTCGTCGTGTTTATTTACAATGTTCTCGAATCAAGAGTTCGCCGACATGTTGTTAGTTTACGGTGAAGCTCGTCAGAATTCAAATCTTGCAGCTCAAATTTATCGCGACGGATTTCGCCAACGGGTACACCCAGACAGAAGGACATTTTGTGCAAGTGTACCAAAGACTTCGAGATACAGGAAGTGTTCAATAATTATTCGCACTCGTGAAAGACAGGTTACTGTCGAGAAAGAGGAACAAATTTTAAATATCGTTGAAATCAATGCAGATATCAGCACTCGGGAATTAGGCCGCCGCGTATGACTATCGCATACCATAGTCCATAGAATCCTACGGGAAAATTTGCTTTATCCCTACCATGTAGAACGAGTGTAGGCCGTGTTACCAGAAGACTATCCTCGCAGACTAACATTCTGTCAGTGGTTTTTCACAGAAACATTGAAAATCCGGATTTTTTTTTTAAATATTCTGGCAACGGACGGATGTACTTTTACGCGACACGGGATATTAAATTACCATAATACTCACACGTGGGCCCAAGAAAATCCTCATACCATTCGTGAAGGTCATTTCCAACAACGTTTTAAAATAAATATTTTTGCGGGTATTCTTGACGATCAGGTAAATGGCCCTTTCGGATTACCCCCAAAGTTGTCAGGAGAAGGATACCATAGCTTTCTAGCCAATAACCTACCAGAACTTTTGGAACAGACCTTAGACAACATGCCATTACAACGGAGACAGAATTTGTGGTTTCTTCATGACGGGGCACCACCACACATTTTTCGAGGCGTCATTCGGTATTTGAATGAACATTATCCAAATCGCTGGATCGGTCGAAATGCTCCTGATCCTCGAAAATGGCCAGCAAGACGTCCTGACCTCAATCCGATGGATTTCTGGTATTGGGGAGAACTTGAAGGGATGGTTTATGGGGCGGGTCCAATAACAACTGAAGCACAACAAAAATTTTAATGCGGCTGAAATGGTAAATGGACAACTTCGAGGATCTAATGTAAGTAGAAACTGGGTTGGTCGTAATGAAGCTTGTGTGGAACGTGGAGGACGATATTTTGAACGCCTTCTTGAATACAAAAAAAGTGCAGTCTGGGTTTTAAAAAGAAAAATAATCTATGTATCAAGATTGTGTTCGCTATTTATAAGTGGATTTTTTTAATAGTAAATCCGTATTTTTTTAATTGTTTGCATTTTACGAGTACATTATCAAATTATGAAATAATACCTAAAAGCCAAAAATAACAAACTCCATCTTTATTTACACTGCGTTCCGTCGTAATTTGCGTCTGGCATTGCGGCGTTGTCAGATTTTATTTTACTTTAAAGTCGCTTTTCTCTAAAAAAAAATGCCGTTTCGACCCCCATGTTATATGAAACTCTTTGCTTCTTTTAAACCCCTCTATCACCCATTTAAATAATGACTATTATAACATTTAGACCCTGTAGAAATAAGTGGCAAATTCAGCATGAGATCTCGACGTATATTAATTACCACGAGTTTTTTCATATTTTAATCAGAATGTAACAGATCCTACTGAAGATAAAACTAGAGTGACCACTAAGGGCACAGACGTTCGTTATTCTAATGCCCCAGTCTCATAACACAAATTAACATTAGAATTTAGATCCGGCCATAAAAACTGACAACTGAATAAGGAAACAGCTAAACAAAAGTATTTCTTTCTATGTACAGCCATGTACTAACGTTTATCTCTCCTAATTCCAGAGCGATAATGTCGGGATTCAAACGAAGCCCCAGCAAATTCTCCTGGGACAGCGAATTCCTAGAACTTCGCGAGACATGCGCCAGTCCGGGCAGCCAAGATTCCGGCTTCTCAGATACGGAAATACACTCGAACTTTCATAACAGGCGATCAAGGAATAGCGAGAGGCTGGTGAAGAGCGACACTAAGGCAAAAAAAACCGCGTCCAGTTGAGGTGAACTTCTACTCGGAGCCTACTGAGAGGCGTAGGTGTGAAGCTAGATGCGAAAAAGTTAGCAAGAAGTTGTTCAATGAAGTCAGCAAGGAGTTGGAGGAGCCGAAAGGTTAGTTGTGTTTCGCATAGTTTAATATAAATTTGAAAAACGAATACTGATTTTTGTAGGTCACAGATACCGTATCTGGAACAAAATTCAAATACTGTTGGCCTTTTTGAAATGTAAGTTTGTCAAAGTAAGGATATAATTATGCATGATTTTGTGGTTTAATTAACTTTGTAACAGTGTATTTTACTAAACTTTGATGTAATAAAATTAATATTTTCATTTGAACAACTCTAATGCCGTAATATCAAACTGATGACACTTAGCATTGTGTGGTATAACAAGTTTTATCAATGGTAGACTTAAATAACAAATACTTGCTTGAATATATACAACACCAAACTGTATCAATATAAATGAGACTGTTAGTTCAATCCGTTTAATTTTCTTACAATTTATTGGAGATCCCCGCATTTACTTTCTTCGTAACTTATCGATGGAGAAAGCTTTTTAGCAAGTACTGAAATACATTAAAACAAAAGTAATAGTACTTACTATATATATAGTAAAATAATAACAAAAAAGCAGTTCTTCACATTTACAATAATGATGCGTTTATTGTCCAACAGTGATTACAATTTACAGAGCAAAAAGCATGTATGCAACCTTCAACCGATGGTTACGGTCACGCGTGTAGAGGTAAACGAACCCGTATAGTCGATTGCGTTTCAAAAAACAACAAGCACTAGAGACGTGGCTAGAGAAGTGCAAGTATCAAAAACTAAAGTGTGGCAAACGCTGCGTGAAGAGGGCCTGTATCCGTTTCACGTCCAACGTGTACAAGCCCTTCAACCTGACGATTTTCCAGCAAGAGTGCGGTTTTGTGAGTGGTTGTTGCATCAACATGACAATAATCCGGACTTTTTGAAGTGCATATTGGTGACAGACGAATCTACGTTCACGCGTAATGGGGCGAATAACTTTCGCAACACTCATGTTTGGTCAGTAGAAAATCCGCACTCTGTCCGTCGGGCAGATTTTCCACAAACATTTTCGGTGAATGTTTGGGCTGGCATGGTGAACGGTATGCTCATTGGACCATTTATTCTCCCAAATCGATTGGACGGGATGCAACACCTAGACTTTTTCCGCAACATTTTGCCATTCCTTGTTAGAGGATGTGCCATTGAGTGTAAGACAATCAATGTGGTTTCTGCACGATGGTGCACCGCCCCATTTTAGACGCGAAGTGCGTGAGTTTTTGAATGAATTATTTCCGGATAGGTGGATCGGACGTAATGGACCCGTAGCGTGGCCTCCGGGATCTCCAGACTTAACACCATGTGATTTTTTTCTTTGGGGAGAAATGAAACGCTTAGTGTACAAAACTGAAGTGCATACGGTTGACGAACTTCGTCTCAGAATTGAACAAGCTGGTGCTTTCATTCGGGGGAGGGACTCCATTCTCAAAGCCTGCACCGATGCTTGGCTACGTCGTGCACGCACCTGTGTTTTTGAATCAAACGGCGATAACTTCGAACAATACCTATAAAGTACGTTTACCTAAAAACTGAAAACGCGGCAACGCCGTCTTATTTGTTACCTCTGTTCGTGGTCTGCACCACCGCCGGCGTCTGCTCGGTAGCGCATCAGCTGATTTCATTTTCTGTTGGAGCGGTATGATTTCGGGCAGAGACGTACTTAGCCCTTCTCGTCGACTGGAGAGTGAGTACTTTTTCCTTTATTTTTTTTTTACTTGATCGCCCTCGTTTCACTACACATTACCTTTGTTATTTCAAGGGTAGTTGTTTCTGAAAAGGAAAACCCCAACTTTGTGGACACCCTGTATATATATAAAGAGAAAATTATCATGCGGAGAAAGGTGTATAACATAAATAGGAAAATAATGGGCAACATCCGCAAAAAGTGGATTCGAGCAGAAAATAGGATAGGTAACCCGAGCGATACGTATTTCTGCTGGTTGGCTTCATCAGGCCCGAAATGAATGCACATATGTAACTACAAAAGTAGATACACATGCCCACACATCCGGATACGGGTGTAACCTGAGGAATGTTTTTAATTATTTTTCTATTTATGTTATACACCTTTCTCCGCATGATAATTTTCTCTTTGTAGATCCTTTGGGCTTGAAGTACCACAGCAAGTGGCTATAACCGGCCGCGTGGTTGTGGTTATTTGTCGCCTTGAAAATTCGAGGTCTTTAGCCATTTTATACTACAATGTGTAGGTTGGCTCTTGTTGTGGACTTCGTGTGTCTTTTTTTTCCTCTCCATCTTCGTTTCCTCAGGTTACACCCGTATCCGGATGTGTGGGCATGTGTATCTACTTTTGTAGTTACATATGTGCATTCATTTTGGGCCTGATGAAGCCAACCAGCAGAAATACGTATCGCTCGAGTTAAATATCCTATTTTCTGCTCGAATCCACTTTTCGCGGATTTTGCCCATTATTTTCCTATATATATATATATATACATATACCTTGAAACATGGTCATTGTCGTCTAGACCAGTTAGGTGAAAAATTGAAGCTCTTGCCTTTTGTTGGGTACTTCGACAAAATTTAAGCAAAGAGGACTCTATACTTTTTTAATCTCTAAAGCTTTCAATGGTCTTTGCCATCATCATCAGGAGCTGCAATTACATTGAGAAAAGTAGCAACAATTGTGCAAAATAAATTTACATTAACTTACAGTAGTATGTAAATAACATATAGCAACCTCCAATTTTTAACGCGTAAATTTTTTTCTGAAAATGACAAGGAGCCTCCAAATTGTCAAAAAATGTTGAGCGGTTTTTGATTTTTTCGTTTTTGCCTTATTCTAGGCCGCCATTAGAGTGATTTTTAAAAACTACTAAGCTTTTTCTTCCTTGGCATAGTACGAGTACTCACCTTCATCAAAATCCGCGCGGTACTTCCCAAGTTATAGACGGGCCAAAGATAAGAGAACAGACAGGCCTACAGACTGAACGACGGATGGATTTTCGTGATGTACATATCATATGACATCCAAAAAACATATCTCATTTTTAAAATGTTTCGTGATTACAATATATCCTCGCCAGCAGGAGTGGGAAGTAAAACTGCTAAAGAAGAGTGACAAATTATAAAGTTGGACAGTTAAATAGAAAACCGAAATTATGGAGAAATATTATATCCCAAAAAGACACTCACTACTGATTCCAAGAATATGGAATCAGGAGATTCCTGAATTAACAACAAAGCGGTTTTTTGAGGTCTGTAACTTTCTAGTTGAACGGAATATGATGCTTAAATAATGACCCTATTTTGCCAACATTGACATTATAAACCAAAATTGTGCTCTTAGTTTTGTGAGCGATTCTTGTTCCATTGAGCCAACATTGTAGGAGTTGCGGTTTAGCATCCATTTAAGGAGAATATATCCCTCAGAAGAAGAAGAAAAGTCTCAGTATAGAGATTGTATCCAAGTCAATCTACTTGACAACTTTGCTTCATAAATAAAATAATTCGTTTCTACTAGATGATATTTCTCCATTACAGATCCAGAAAAAGTGAACAAGAAGCTATTCAACGATGAAACCAAAGACACCATGTACTACCTCGAATTGAACCGAAAATTCCGCTTTTTCTCCCCGAAACCAACCCGAAGATTCTTCAAGCGCGATAACTGCCCTCCATTCAATTGCCACACGTTTTGCGGCAAGACAAAATCGCCCAAAAAGATCCTGGACGCGGACTTTAAGTCTCTGTCAGTCCCTACCCCTTTACATACCGAAGAATGTGCTCATCAATATTCCAGCAACGTTCAAGAAACATCAAGCGGCAGCACACGCGATTCGTATGCTTATTGTTCCGATAATTCCTGCGGAGAAGCACCATCCAAAGGTGAAGAAACGTCAAGTAGCGGTGCACAAGACTCTTACGGTTCTGACAATTCCTTCGAAGAAGCGCCTTCCAAATGTGAGGAAACCTCTGAAGAGAAGAAGAATGGGGACGGATCTTCAGATTCGGAGGTGATTGGGAGGGTCAGTGATGGTGAGAGTGATTTCGACAGTGACGTAGAGAGGGAGTTCGAGAGGAACTTTGAGTGCAAGACGACGCATACTTCCACGCCCAAGTGGGAGGATGATATGGGGAGGAGCAGGAACAGGAAGGAGAGTCTGCCGTTGAATCTGTTCCTCAAATATCAACACGAAAGGTAAATCGAGTCTAGGTTGATTTTGTGTATGTTATCTAATCATATTATACCAAATCCAAATTATCAGTTTTGTCTGGTGGTTTCAGAGTATGTAAAGAGTTCTGGAAATCCTGAACGACATTCATTCTGGGTGAATTCTTTTTCTCGCAGGAAATAATGCTCGTGATTTCGGCTACAATTATTTGGGTCTAAGCGCGGTAGACATATCTCTTATATACAGGGTGGCGCATCGAAAACGAAACAGACGCATTTAAAAGGGAAATTGAAATCACTCGACCCCCCTTTCCATTTAAGATTTTGTGGGTGGTGTCACCCCCGCTTAGGGGGCTGCACGTACTAACGTGATTTTTTGCCAAACTTGTGTCCCCCTCGAAAACAAAATCGACGGGTCTGAGCGTTTTTCAAAAAAAAAAACTGAGCTGACAGTAAATGCGTCTGTTTCGTTTTTGATGCGCCACCCTGTATAGGCAACGTCAAAACTTACAGTGGAAAACAGTCTATTAGATATTCGTCTTCTATTAACATGCTCAAACTGTTTTTACCTAGCTTATCATGCCAGGAATATCCAGTTCTAAAATTCCCTAATCAATGTATTATTTTACACTGTATCCAAATTCCTTAAGAGTGATATTTAGTGGAATTTTTCTTAGAAACTGGTGGCATTTCTTACAGCATAGAAAAAATTAATATATAAAACTTTAAAATATTATTGGTTCACATTCAAAAATTATAGAAGCAGCAGAAATGATGTTCAAATATCCTTCTCTATTGGTGAATTGCTGAATAAATTGGCTTTTTTTTATAAACATACTATTGATTTTTTTGAATGAGAAATGATAAGACACATCAATATTTGTATTAAGTTCAATGGTCGTATTTATTTGTGACATAAATTATTTTAATCGTAAGTGAGTTAGTACCAGATAACGATATGTAAACATACTTATGTTATGTTTTAAAATCAGCAATTTGAGCTGTTTATTGCAAAACTTGGTAATGGTGCTTTAAGTGGCAGTTTCAGACCTAGCAAAACTCATTATAAATTTTTTTGAAAATTCGATTAGGCTTATTAGGTATCAGTCACCTGAAATGGCATTTAGATATTTTTTCACATTATAGCTTGTATATAAAATACAAATCTGAGGTTTGCATCTACAGTGGTAGATAAAAGAGGCAGCAATACAGCGTTTTTTATTTGTTGCTTAGAAAATCACCAGAAATGACATTTACAAATTTTTGAATAATAAAAATAATGTTTCCAAAATGCAATTCACATACACTTGATTCATCTGTTATGTGGAGAAGTAGCTAAATACACAAGAATAATTCAGATAGAATCACGCAGTGATTTTCGCAAACTTGTAATTGTTGCTCCTAGACCTGCCTTTGTAACAATCCTCGGTTCAGCAATGAAATTATTTCATTACATGTCAATCAAAAAAAGTTAGTAACCTCGTTCCAAAAGTGAGATCATTTTTAATGAATATTGCAGATTAATTTTTGTTGCATTTTCCTCTAATAAAATTTCAGTCTATTATTCCAAATAATACTTGATGAATTTTCAAAAAATAATAAAACTCTTATTTCAATGTAGGTCAAAGAAATGGAAAAAGCCACCATTTCATGCTTGAAAACTTTTATTTTTATTTTAAAGTCAATTACATCGCTTTTTCAATTAGACTACTAGAAAAGTTACAGAAAAACTCGAAGACCAACGAATGAAATAAATCTAAGTTAAATGACAACTTTTTTCTACTCCAGGGTGCCTCCGATTCCTGTGCAACCATCTGAAGTGTCAAACGAAGCAGTGAAGATGTGGCTGAACGACGCTCGACAAAGTTTCGAACAAGAATGCACGACTACCCTTCAGTGCAAGTCGGTGACCGCAGAGCTCAACCAGAAGGTCTATCATCTAGCTGCTTGCTGCTCAACTATAGTTAGAGCCATGTTATGTGACGCTAGGAGAATTGAGATAGAGTACGAGAAGCTTAACGGGTATGTTGTAACAAAATTACTTCAAAGATATATCGGCTAAGTAAAATGTTATTAATACGAGCCTTAAAAGTATGCGTATTTTTTGATGCTATGCATAACGCGATGGGCTGTTAAGAGTGGTTGATATGGGCACGATGGACGCTTGGATATCGAGAACGTTGAATCTGTGGCTCAGACCAAGGCCACTGCGTGAAGCTTTCCGTTCACAATCGTCCCCAAAAGCTAAATTTGACAAAGGCAAAAACTATTCACTAATGTAGAGATTTGAACCATCCCCGTTCCGAGCAGTGTTGAGCGACTAACTGAATATTTTCTTCAAAATCGGCCTCACAATATCTAGGAGTAATGAAAATCGGAATTTTTCGATCCTCTAACCCTTTTAGTGACACAAATGATTAATTGGTTTAAACTATTTTTTTTTCAGAGAAACAGTGCACATTGAATCTTTGGTGCAAAGTTTAACCGGCAATATTTTGGAATTCGTGAAGACACACAGAAATAAGCTCCCAGCAGCGATAGCACAGTTAGCCGATAAGATACGTTTGCACAGGTGAGAAAATAGAAAGGGTGTGTGCTATAAAAATTAACCTTATCACATTACCGTTAATCTGCGAATGTGGAATAGAAAACCTCAATACTGTTTATATTTAGGTATAGAAATCTGTTTTTAACGAAATTATCTTGTAGCGGAATAATTTTTTCGTCCCTACAGGGCTCATTTATATCTAAATGATATTTTGCATGGCATACGCGTAGCTAAGGGGGGGGGGGGGGGTGGTAGAAGGGGTAATAACCCCTACCAGACCCATGGCTGATGCTGGTTCCAAATAGCAATTGTTTATTGGACAGCGCTGTATGGATCTTGTAAATGTCAATTCTATTGTCATTTGTTGTTTGATTTCACCCTTGCCATGTGGCTATTGTTTGTGAATTATAATGCAAGACGTGTCGAGCTTGCTGTCAGGTGTTTTTCAGTTTTTTGTTATCTTGCACCAGAGGTGGCGCTCGCACCACATTGTTACGCACAAATAGTGGCGCCAAAAGCTGCAAAAGCATAATCTTGTGTAGCCAATCGGTTGAATAAGCTCCGATTTGCGTAACTTTTTAGATCGTTGAAGACTTTTTTTTAACCTTTTAGAGGAACTTTTCGGCACTTTTTGGAAAGAAGGGTTATTTTTAGAGTTTTAAAAACTTGAATATCTTCTAATATTTATTGAAAGAAATACTGGTAATACCGTAAAGATACCCTGACGGGGAACACTGTCGATTTGAAACTAAAACAGTTCAACACTTGAGAGTTATCCCTGTCTGTATCAGGTCAATAAACTCGTGGCAATTTTATTAAATAATTAAAAATGGAAAAAACATATTTCCTTTTCGCAACCCAACATCTATTTTCCTGTTTGTCTAATTATGCTAGCAGCAAAAGGCGAACTGAAAATCAATTTAACTGTTTCATTCTTTTCCAAGAAATATGTTAGTTTTTTGTTAAAAAATGCGGGTGGAAGAGACATCGATAAAAGATGTCACAGCAAAAATCGGAGGAAATCAGAGGCAATTTAAAAATTAAAAGGTTTTTCATATTTCTAAATTGTGATTCCAGAAATCAACTAGCACCCCCCTTCCGCCCCGGAGGTAGTATCACATTTTCTTCAAATAGGAGGACCTGAAGACTTTTTCTGGTCTTCAGTTTACAATATGTGGCAGTTTTCTTTTGATACCCCCCAGGCGCTACTGCTACATAGAAAAATTCTAGATAAAGACGAAATCACGAAAGATGGCGATTACGCCATCATTTTAGTGTGTAGTAAAGACAAACGACAGCGATTTGTGAATATTTTTAATGCAGTTTCAGATACGTTAGACAGAGGTAATTTTATTGTCTAAACAAACTGACAAAGGTAGACGATGTTTTCATGTTGTATGATCGATCATATTTGAAAGATGAATAGTTAGGTTATGTTAAAGCAGGTTAGGTTGTTTTTGAATAATACTTTGGTCTTTGGTGTTCCTGTCTATAGGTATTCTTCTCATAACTGTTTTTTTCAAAACAAAAACTTCCCACTAAAATTATTATTACGGTATTATTTATTGATATTTGTCAGTTACTTGTGGATTGGCTATAAAGACTAAGTATACAACAATCAGTTATTATAATTTTTGTTTATATAGGTTTGAAGATACGCTGAACCTGATTGCCAGACTATACTCTGCATGGGAGGATATCAAAAATGAACTCGTAGAAGAAGAGATTGGGAAAATCGTCGCTAGAGTCGAAAGTCCTACATCTGAACTGGACCTTAGGGCTACTATCACTGCTGTTACCTCGTTGGCTTTGAGGCACGAAGAACTGATTGACTTGTTCATCAAAGCAGACCTTGTTTCAGCTTTACTGATACTTTGCGAGAAATGTGAAGGTAAGTTCACTAGCTTTAGCAATTCATATGATTCATGAATATGTTAATCACTGGTTTAATGAAACATCAGTATTGTTCTGCTTACAAGGATAAGAAGCAATGTTAAAATACCAGCAACACAAAAGCTTTGAAATAAAATGTGGTTCAGACTATGAATAATTACATGTTTGTATCTATGAAGTTTTTCATTCTTGGTTAACATAAAGTTGTACTAGCGTTTGGTACTATAGAAATGCCTAGAATGTTTACCTGTTCAAAGTAACACAAATGTTTCTGAACGAATTCTACCATTTGCTTCCTGAGATAATCCATGCAACATTCACGTGAGGTTTCGTCAGAAACAAATTTATACACTATATGCAATATGAGGGGTAAAACGCTATATTAAAATAAAAAGGATATCCAGCGTTACGTTTTTGGAACATTGTGCTGCCGTTTTATGTCATATTGAAAGTATCATATCATGTAGAACAAGTTCATCAATGATATCATTTAGTTTAGAAACCGGAAACAAGTTTTTGAAACATTTACCAAATGAGCTAATAAATCCACATAGCTTTTGATGTACATACAGTCTTGTCTCGTTGTTACTGGGCGTGTTACATGTCATTATGCGATCGACGGTTGGAGAAACTTCACCTCCGGACTGCCAGATGCATTCGGATTAAATCATTTTTTTTCGTTTTAGGTTCATCCTTGAGAAGCCTAATCTTGCGCACCCTGGCGACGATGTGTTGCAACTCCGCTGCCGTAAGGCAATTCGAACGCTTCTCTGGTATTTTCTTGATCACCGAAACCTTAGAAGAAGACTTCCGACCTGAACCAGAGCGAGCTGAAGCGATAGCGCTTCTTGTCCAGGTAATTTTCCAAAATATGACCAGGTATCGGAAACAACAGAATACCGTGGATGGTTGATTAGAAAAAGTTGCTTGTACCTGTCCCACTTACCATTTTCTTTCCGCCATACCCCCGTATTGGACTATGTTCCGCCCTTGATAAGGCTAATCAATACGTCACGTAAGTCTACTATATCTCAACAAATTCCAATAACTTCATGAATTATTTCATCATTTAATAAATATCTCATTAACGACAATCGTGGGCATGTCCGTAATAAAGAAACAGAAGCAGAAATAGAAGGATCGGTAACCCGAGCGACTTCTGTTTCTGCTTATTAGCTTCATCAGGCCTAAATGGATGTGCATCGAAAACACCGAAGCGAAATCATAAGCACATCATATGAAGAAAAACAACATTGGAAAGGGAAATACAACTAGAAGCCATCAACACTAATCCTTCTTTTTCTGCTCCTGTTCCTTTTTGCGATTGTCCTTTGTATTTCATCTAAATTTCCGCAATACTACTTGTCTTTTTTCGTAATAGCACTCAATTTCACATAGTCCAGTGTATATTTGCAATAACTTTTTTATAATTTTCGATACAATTTTTAGGTTTCTGCGCCTTGGCTGGAAGACAACCAATCCATAAAGGGCCTTAAGGAGTATTCCTATCGGTTAGTCAAAGCGTTGACCAGGTTCTCCAAAGACACAAAGTGCTGCCAGAATTTGCTGTTGAGCACTGCGGCTCTAGCGAACGTAAGTGCAATGGACCCCGAAGCTGCCAAATATATGATCAAGTGTCATACGATAATCCATCTGGTGGAATGCATCAAAACCAAAGTATCTGTGTACCTACTGGAGCAAGTTGCTACGCTTATCGCTAATATTTCGTCTACTGAACTAGCCAGGAAGCATCTCATAGGTAAGACATACCATGCAGACGGTAATTTCGATCATAAAAATATGAAATGTCTATGAAACGTAAAGAAACCGGGGAAAATCGTACTTTATAACTTTGAACATAACCTATCTTTAAAAAGGACAATACAAATAACTCGCCTGGTACAGGTAATAGATGGGTAGCATAAGTAATATCCCCAAATAGCAAATATTACTGATTTTATACATACATTCTCCAAACAATCATCCAGATGCGATCTTGCTACTCAACGAATTTTCTTTGTCACATCTTCTCAGAGGTATACTCTAGACTACCTCGGCATTCTGCAACCGACAAAGCGTGTTGGGGGAACTGACGCCTTTGGTGACGCTCACAACGAGCAATAGCAGAATGCACTATTTGCACTCTAGGAACTATCTAGCCAGCAAACTGACATTTTGTCGTTTTTTTTTTGACATTATATAGGTGTTCTACGTAATAACCTTGCCGTTTGCCAAAGTTGTGTAACCAGAGATTTCGGCAAACGACAAGCGCGTGGTTCAGACATTAAAAGCTCCTACTGACAAGGTAAAATAATTCTGTACAACTTTCACACATTTATAGATCTAAGAACCCCAAGTCTGCTGCTCCAATTTTTGAGGGTGCAGTATGAGGAAGAGGCTACTAAAAGACTGCAACAGAAAAGTGTGATAGCCTTGAGCAGGTTAAGCGGAACGAAAGATGGTGCTGAGCAGGTGGTGGATTGTGGAGGAGTGGATAAACTAGTCAGACTGTGCAGGGAGAGGAAAGAGCGGTTCGACAGCGATGCTGTTTTGGTGGCAGCATTGGTAAGTTCACATATCATTTTAATCACTACACGAACTGAAAAAAGGAGCATTTATAGTCTCTTTCATACGATCGTCGAGTACCGAATCGTGTTTAGTGAAAACTCCAGTCCTTAAAACTAAGGAGCTCAGATGAAGTCAAATAGTGATGTCAGAAAACAAAAGTTGCAAGTCTGCCATGCTGTGCCTTGGTGTAAACAATACCTGGCTAGTCCGAAATCGTGAGGCGTGCGCTTCCCCCCTAGACGTTACCCCCCCTCTCTTAAATTTTCAATTCGCCGATACCTCCCTCCCTAAGGACGAACATTTTTTACAGCTCACTCACGGTGGACCACCATATAGTTAATTTTTTTCGATTACTCTATTGGACTGTCTCTGATAAATATAAACTTGGAGTTAAAAATAACCAATTATTTGCTCCTCTGGGTGGTGCTTTTATGTTTTTAATAGCACACTTTTATTCTCAGGAGGAAAAAGCTCATGCATATTTTCAGACATGAAACACTGTACAGAATGGTTATCACAGCTAAGCAATTGAAAATGGAAGCTGTAAAATACACAAGTGAGCATATCAAGTACCATGTGCAACATATAAGTATCTACCACTTCACAGAATCAAAATTGCAGGTGTTGCATAAAAGTATTGCTAGGTTGAATTCATCCTCACATATGTAAAATACAACCAAACTGCATTGATCCAAATCCGAGCATACCTTTTGATATGAAAATTAATACCATTTCCAAAAATATGTATTTACAAAGAATGTTATCATTTTCTCCCTAAAATTTTGGGTGCTTCATCATTTTCTATGAAAGCGAAAATTAGCATAACTCTTCCAAAATTCAATCGTAAAGTCGCATATAATGCTCTTACGTAGAGGAAACTACCCAAAATCTAGCTTCCATTTTGATAAAGATTTAAAAAAATATGAAAAGTAGCTGAAAATATCTAATGATTTTGTGGTCAAATGAAACCAATTCTACGTTTTTCAAAGCACTAATTATGACAATATATTTTATACTTAGCTGTTGTCGAGGTGACATTCCTTTTGTTTTTTCTTTTCTTTGCTACTGTACAGTGTTGTAACAACAGCCTAAATCATCCTGCAGGACGCCGTGGTCGCGCAAAGCTTTAAGACGCGTAAAGCCTTTTACCGCCTGGGGTAAGAATTCTCGCTTCCAAAACTTTGACAAAAGCGACAAGCGAACAAGGTCGCCTTTTGTTAATGTTTTTGATGTACCAGACACATCATCCACGCTCATCGCCTCGAAAAGCCAAGCTTCGCTCAACCAGAACAGTTGTCACCATATAACAGTTAACTGTTATGCAATCTTCGACTTCTAATGATGTTGCAACACTTCGTTGAGATAAACCAATCAACTACACTAATGCAATTCATTGGGATAAAATCCCGGTACGTGTATTACAAATTATATCAATGAACGTTTTTATTCCAGGCAACACTTAGGAAAATAGCAGACCACTGCGGGATTGAAGTGCTGAACGCGCAAGACGCTCAAGAGCTCGTGCAACCAAAGCTACTAGACTCGTTCTTGACATATTCTGCTCAGAACGAAAGTTATGTATAGATAAGAGGACTTTTATATCGTTGTTATTGTTTATATAGAAATAAAGTTTATTTCCATTTGTTTTACTTGTTATTTATAATAACACGAGAGAAATATTCGCGATTATAATATTCCCCTAGACTAGTGGTGTAGGAAGTACAAGGTATACTTTATCTGAAGTCACTTGAAACACTGTGAAATACCGGGTGCGTTTTATATATCTATATTTAACACGCTCTGTTGCTGCAAATATCGCCAAATTTCGCAGCAAATATCCCCCGTATAAGAGATCAAAGGCAGTTTCACCGGTCCACGTGGAGTAAAGCACGCCTATGCGTGGACATAGCCAATGAGAAAGCGTGTATTTCAGAGCTCGGAACAAGTGCAGGTGGCTACTGAAAATTGAAACAGTTTAGCCAGTGCCGTGTAGCGGTGAATAAACGTGTTTTCTTTAGTCTGTCCGTGTTTTTTCATAGATTTTATTAGTTTGTGTGTTTTTGACTTTTGAATACTCAGTTTACTTGTTGATTTAATTGTTATGTTGATTGTTCTTGTGTGTCCTAAATATGGCTCTTTGGAGACCTTGGGAAAATGCTCCAAGCCACGAGGAGATGGTTGATGAACCTGTGCAGGCAGAATTCTTTCATAAAGATTTAGAGGAACAGACCCAAAGAGTAATCCTAAATATGTATGATTGTCTGAAAAACGAAAATCCAGATTTCTCGCAAAATCAAATTTTAAACAGAATTTGTATCCTGACAAAAATCAGTCGGTCTACCATTTATCGGGTTATAAAAAGGGGAGATGTAGTCAACCATTCCTTCCACAGAAAGCGCATAGGGCAAAAATTAAAAAGAATAGACGTGGGTTTTCAGGAAGATATTCGTCGTATAATATACGGATTTTATAAAGAAAATTTGGTGAACACGTTGGAAGTGATACGGGATAAATTAAAAGATTATCCTGAAGATTTTTATAATTACAAATGCTTAGACTCACTGCACTGTATTGTAAAACTGTGTGGTTTTCAATGCAAAAAATTAGATAAAAGAATGGTGATTATGGAGTCGTCTCGAATCGTTGAATTGCGCCAAGAATTTTTGCACAAAGTTAAAATCTATAGAGAGCAGAAAAGAAATCTGATTTACCTGGATGAAACGTGGTATGATACCCATGATGTTGTGCAGTACGGCTGGGTTGACGACAGCAACAAGTGCATTTTAAATGCACCATGCAACCGTGGAAAACGAATCATTATTCTCCATGCTGGCAGTGAAAATGGATTTATACCTAATGCCTTGCTGTTATCTGCCAAAAATATCAAAGAATCATGTGCCGACTATCATGAGGACATGACCTCCGACTTATTTGAAAAGTGGATAGAGCAGCAGTTAATACCAAACATTTCCCCAAATTCAGTGATTATTATGGACAATGCGCCATACCATTCCCGACAGAAAAACAAAATTCCGAATACAGGCACAAAAAAACAAGACATTATTGATTTTATGAAGCATAAGGGAATGGAAATACCACAAAAATCAACCAAAGCCATATTATTGGATCTTATTAAAAGACAAACATTTGAAAAAGAGTATGTTGTTGACAATCTGCTTCAGCAAAATGGCCATGAAGTATTACGTCTACCTCCCTATTACTGCATTTTTTAACCCGATTGAGTTGGTCTGGGCTGCTTTAAAAAAAAAAGTAAGAAAACATAATCAGACCCCTCAATTAAGTGAATCGCTATTGGCCACAATAAGAGATGCAGTATCTCATATTGCTGCCACAGACCTATGGAAGCAGTGTTCTAGGCATATTATTGAAAAAGAAAATGAATATTGTGTTTTGCCTCCTGTAAATCCCGTTGTAATTCCTCTACAAGATGACTCTAGCGACAGCTCCGAAGGCGAGGATGATATATAAATACCTATAATGTAAGTCTTTATATACCTTTTTATATACCTACCTGCTATGTAAATATTTGCCTACGTCAAACGTTGGAATTCTGTAATTTTTCCATTTCTTAACTTTCAGTCAACATAAATTAAACTCCCAATATAAGTATTTTTTATCCCAAATCAAAAAAAATAAGAAGATAGTAAAATCCATTTATTGTGATATAAAAACATTATTATTATCGTTCTAAATAAATGCCGCACGCCTATGATACGTCATGAAATTACAAAGGACGCGCCGACCAAAGGTTTTTATGCTATTTCAAGTGACTTCAGATACACCATACATTGAAGACTGATCTTCAAACTTCATGATCATAATGCCGACAGTCTTATAGATCAAGAAATCACACTACACAACCAGTAAAAAGGAGAAGAGATTGAAAAATATTAATTTTTAATATCCAAAAATATTGAATGACAAAGATGCTTACTTATATATTTATTATAAAAATTAATCCTCAAAAATCTTCACAGTGTATAGACAGAACACAATCAAACACAAAAATACAAAACTATATATACAAAATATTTCCCTGATTATAAAAAAAATCTAGAGCTCACATTTAACCTACTATCACCTGTTCCTTATTTTCCAGAGGTAATTCTTCCTTTGGATCATCCACCTTCTCTTCCTTTTTTGTAGCTACTAGCACCTCCTTCTTCAATAAAACTCTAGCTTTTTTGAATTTACTAAGAAATAATTTTTCTTCAGCTTTCTTCTTCCTGTATTCTCTATTCAATTTTTCATACCTCCTTTTTGCAGTTAGTAATTCATCTTTCAAAATATTCCACTCAATGGTTGTATCTGGTGATTGATACTTGGTAGGATCTATTTCAGGGTTGTATTCAGGAATCTCAAGGCCCAGCCTTTTACATACCTTCACCAGTACGTCATCCACAAAAGTGTTTATAATGAGATCTGCCTTTTTGTCCTACAACCAAATTTAACTAAGCTGTAAAAATTATTCTTTAAAACGTGATATGCCAAGATCAGTATTTTCATGTTACAAACACGCAAGTTACTTACATGTTTTGTAGGCTGTAAATTCACTATCACAACTTTCCCACCATACTTTTTACATTTTAAAGGCAGGTTACCACTAGGTACTATTTGCAGTGTGGTCCCTAAGCATATATTGAGATCTGCAATACTGGAAATAAAAAATATATATTTTCAACAAAAATTGTGAAAACAAATCTATATACCTTGACTGATAATCAGACATTTCCAGATCCATTTCAGGCAAGCTATCTTCCCAGTCTAAAATTGTATCATATAATTTGCCTCTACAACTTCTTGCTCTTAATGTAGCGGACCTTTTGCAATCTGTGCCTAGGCATTTTTGTCCAACTGATGTTGTTGCTGAAAATCTCACGAACTGGCTAAAATATGATTTGAAATTATACTAAGTGACATATAAATCCGAACACCCAGTTTAAATGGTTTTATTAAGTACGTAAGTTATAAGTTATAAGTACTTAATGAAGCATAATAAGTAAATGATAAAAATTTCAAAATGATTGCACTGCTTTAAAGCCCTTTGACCTTTAATAATGTGTGGATGCACCCTGATGTGCTACGCATTCTCCAACGCGCCTAGGCATGCTTCTGATCAGGTGTTCAATGTCCTCCTGTGGTATCTCATTTCAGGCAACCACCAACTCCTCTCGACGTGCTTCTAGAGTCTGAGGAGGACGTTGCAAATTGAGCAATCTCCTACCCATCATATCCCACACGTGCTCAATTGGGGATAAGTCGGGAGATCTTGGTGGTCATGGTAACAATGTGACATCATTATGTTGAAAGAAGTCTATTGTGACTCTTGCAACATGTGGTCGGGCATTATCTTGTTGGAGAGTTGGATCTGCCAGGGTGTCAAGATAGGGTAAAAGATGGGGTTCTAGAACTTCGTGGATATAACGCTGCGCGTTCATGTTACCTCTGATGAAGATTAAAGGTGACCTGGAACCATAAGCTATAGCACCCCAAACCATAACTCCAACAGTGTGATGAACATGTCTTTCAACAAAAAACTGTGGATTCCTCCTTTCACCACGTCGCCTTCTAACCCTGGCACGACCATCGTGCATGCCTAAACAAAATCGAGACTCGGCACTAAAGACAATACTGTTCCATTCCTGATCCCAGAGTGACCGTTGTCTGCACCACTCAAGGCGATTACGTCGGTGTTCTCGAGTTAAAGGGAGGACCCAGTGTGGCCAGTATGAAAACAAGCCAAAACTTCTCATTCGTCGGTAAACACTTCGCATGCCAATAGGTCTTCCGTGATCTGCAAACCATTCATTTGCAATGGACCTGGTAGTGGAGAAACGGTCCCTTAAGGCCAATAATCTTAGGCGGCGATCTTCACGGTCTGTTGTTCTACGGCGACGTCCAGTGCCCCTTGCTCTTTGCGTACGGCCTTCTCGAAGCCATGCCTGACAACACCTAACCACAGTGTCTACACTTCTTTGCACTCTAACTGCAATTGCCCGAAAAGAAAGTCCAGCTTCCCGAAGTCCCACTATGTGGCCCCTATCAAACTCACTAAGTTGACGAAATCGTACAGGTCTCCGTACTCTAGGCATCATGACCGATCGTAAAGGATGTCAAGAACCAAAATCCGCCAACGTTGATTCTTTACTGCAGCTGAAATATTCATTTTTACAGCGTTAGTGAATTAAAAACAAGCAGTATAAAAACCGGAATGTCCAACTGATAAGGCTGAAAATTTTTTCACTTGTTATTTACAGTAAGATAAATACATTCACCAACTTTTATTAAAATAAAACCATTTAAACTGGGTGTTCGGATTTATATGTCACTTAGTATATATAATATTACTGATTAAGATACATATAAGAAACTTACCTTTCACATAAATTGCACTGCTCAACAAACATGTTTCCATGTAATTCAGCAATGTTTGATCTGGACATGCCAGTTTTTAAATGTAAGCCATCAATATTTTGGCTTATTATGTAATGCACATACTGTTTATCTATTAAATGCTTTAGTGCCATGTGTGTTTTTGTTGGGATGGCATCATTGAAGGATATATTTATATTTGGCTTTTTCCCTTGTTTTTCTAGTGTCCATACCCCATTGGGTCCTCTGTAAAATGATTATCTAATTAAAAAAATGATTAATTCCATTCAATTTTAATTTTTTGCAGTAAAACATCTGTGCTTATAGTCTTCAGGTATAGTGAAAAATTCTGTATTCCTTAAGCACTCACAACCTTTTTTAGGAACTGTGTAGCCATAGCCCATATTGGTCAATTTATTCATGTTTGAACTTAAAATTGGACCTATTCCAGTGGCAGTGTCTGAGATAAAAATAATTCTATAATGTGCTTTCGAAGTTTTTTAAGGTAATTTATTTTATTTATGAAAATGCAAATATGATAAAACAGGGGATCTGGGATTTTTTATTACTATAATAGAGGCTTTTCTTGTACCCAGTTTTCTAAATAGGCAGGATTAGAATTGCAGCTGTTTTATTTACAGAGGATCCCACTCAGAGAGACTGGAATGTAGTATTGCTGGTAAACCACGTCTAAGCCCAAAAAAATGTCTCACTGATATTTTTGCTCTTGAGCTACAAGAACTAGTAATTATGGAGATAAACATTAAAAGATTTTGGGAAATCAAATCTCAAAAAGGTTTGTAAATGTAACAGAGCTATTTAAATTCAAATGAAGCTGACATTATTGAAATTGCCCAAGGCTCTTTTTTTAATTTTGTTTGTTTCTTTGGCATTTAAGAGCCCCTATCAAGCCAGGGCTCTCATCATAGGTGCTGCGAGCACAGCTGTGGCCCCTCTAAGAATTTGGTTGAACCCTAAAATTTGCTTATTTAGCATGACTTTGCATACAACTTTAGAGAAACTTTGAAACCCCTGCTCTTCAAAAAGTTTCTTTCTTAAGTTGTTTCTTGGTGATGATTGGCCCTCCTTGAGAAAAATTGCTGCGAGCGCCCATGGGGTTCCTGGTTCCTCTCTAATATAGCATGGATAAGAATGCAACATTACCTGAAATCTGGGATTCCTGCAGAAGTACTTATTCCAGCTCCAGTGTGTATAACCACATGTTTCGAGTTTTTTATCCAATCTGCCAGGACAGCACATTTCTCGTCGACTTTTTCTCCGTTTTCAAATTTCTAAGTGTGAGATACAAGAAAATAAATAAAATAGAAACGGAAAGATACATATAAAAGTTGTTTTTGTTTACCTCTGGTGTCCCTAAAATCCCTTTATTTTCGTAGTGAGATAAGCCATCCGCGTAGTTGCAAGACATGTTAAACCGAACACTACTCAGGAAGATAACGGGTGCATTCAAAATGATAAAACCAATTTGCAATGATCACAAAAATAATAAAAACACTACACTGGAATAAACAACTTCAAACACTAGCCGACATTTTCGCAAATATCACTGTCATCTAGTGTCATTATCAGAAACCACGGAAGCGCAAAACATCAGAATATAGAACAGGTCGCGTTCCGGCAACCAGTCATACTTCGCTCTTCTTAGTTTGACCAACGTTGTAGAGATGGGGCCATGGAAAGCGCTTTATTTGAACATAAAGACCATCAATTTAGATGTATATTTTAGTTTTTCTTAACTAAAATACACCAAAAGTCATCATCTCGATCTTAGAAACTGGTAGATATATGCCAAAATGTCGCTTATAAACTTCAAGATTAATCGTCCTACAAAACATCTAAAAATAAACTTTTGGTCTCCAGAAAGTCAAGATGCTAAAAATAAAGCACCTTTTTGATTGCAGTGTGAGACGAAGTGAGTAGTGAAGTTTCGTTGAAGAAAATAATAAAAAATGGCAGCTGAACAGGTACGTAGATAATTACAATGTTTAATTTTCATTCACTTAGCAGGAATAGTAATATATTCATGATACTTTGTTGTACAGGTGCAGAATAATAACGAGCTCATGATGAGACTTTCAGAGTATGAAAAGAAGCTGCAGGTAAAGTGAAATATTACTCATAATTCATAAGATTCCTCCCACTAATGAAAATTCATTATTTACGAGCTATAAAAAATGATTTGTCGTTTAATAAATTTTCTTTGGGCAATGCCCATATAGGTTTCTTGGTAGTACTGATCTTCTTGATTAAAAAATTATTTCGATCCACCACATTTTTTAATATCTGACAATTCACTGACGTTTCGGTTACTGCGGTAGTCTTTTACAGATAAAAAAGACGGTGTAAATCCATTGTATTTTATTTGAAATTGTTTTGACTTTAAAATGTTTGGATTTGGGATCCAACAACCGGTACGCGGTTCAAAAAATGAACAAGCTATTGGTTTTATTTATTTAATGCACTAAAGATTACGGTGAGGACTAAGATTGATAAGAGCAAATGGCTAACTCGAAGCACATACCTACGAGGTATTATACATTTATACGAGTAGGTATTATAGGTTACACATAGAGCTGGAATTTCAATCCCTCCTTCCTGAACTGTTCAACCCCTCTAAGGTGTTTTGGGCAAACCTAACAAGGATCTGAAAAAACGTACAAAAACGAAATCTTAGGACGGGTATTTAGAAACATCAGGCATCCGTGTTTCTGTCGATCCATGAATTTAGCTTTTGATACAATAATTTACGTGATATCTTATAAGTTTACGTGACATGACAATACGTTTCCACTACTACGCTGGTTTCAAAACATATATTCGGTATTTGATATGGTGGTAACGTATTACTAAAAATTTCGTCATCATCCATAGAGCTATTTGATCGTAAACTAATTAGTATTTTGCCGCTTTTTCAAGAATAACTTCGGCTTCTGTGACGAATTGACGTAAAAGATCCAAAAGCCACGCCATCCCGTATTCGAACGTTTTTACAAATGCAATACTTCCCTCACCTATATTAGCAAAAACGACAGTGATTAAAGATACTATTTTGTTTTTTGACATCCGCACTTATCTGTACTTAGTAGTTTACATTGCTTAAGTGTAAAGCGAATAATTACCGGATACGTGTATCTTATACCAATAGGGTTTGGTCTACAAAGATGAGATCGGAGCCACTTTTTCAAAACTAAGCGATAGATTTATTTATAAAAAGTGGTTGTGGTTCTATTATTCTTCTTCTTCGAGAAAATGTACTCCTTGTGTGAAAATTTTATCAAAATCCGAATAGTACTTTTCAAGTTATAGGCGCTGATAAGATTAGCAGACAGACTGATAATTGTTTTCAAAAGCTTCCGACAGACAGAAACTGTTATTATCGCAAAAGTTGTTTAAGACAAAATCGTCGAGGAGTAAAATGATCTCAGTCCAAGGAGTCACCTCCTCGAAGTTTTGCTTCATGATTTGCAGAGATCTTATATAACGTCACAACAATTCTTCTCTCAGGATAAAGACAAAGAAATAGAAGAAATGCGAAAACGCATGCTTGAACTCGAAGAATCCGTCGTGAAAGTGGAAAACATGAAAAACCAAATGCTGAAAGGCGCTGAAGAAGTGGACGCCTTGAAGACAGCATCCGAAGAGACATTAACAAAAGCAAAAAGCATGCTGTTCGAGAAGACCAAAGTGATCAAAAACCAGGAGTTGCAAATCGAAGCGTACAAGCAGCAGATCGAGTCCCTGAAAGACGTGGTCAGGATCACGAAGGATCTGCTGGACATCAGGAACCTGGAAGTAAAGCAGCTGGAGGGAAGGTTGAATGTGATGGATGAGAGGACGAAGGCCGAGAAGGAGAAGCAAGATCTGCTGCATCAGAAGTTGGAGAATATGATACGGTATGTGGAAATTACACGTAGCCTTAAACTTAGCATTAGAGTGAGTGAGATTTGTATCTATAACGTTTCCATACCAAATGATTTTAATTGATTTTTGATGCATAATCAAGATATTTAGTGGCGAAATGAATGAATGCATCGAAAGAGAAGAAAAGGCTAGGGAGTCTTGACTCATAGGAAATCCCCAAAAGCAAAGGCTAGAATATATACGAGTAAATATTACAAGACCTTTGTTGAAACCTTTTGGCATACGTTTCTATCTTCTTGAAACAAGGATGTGATTGTTGCTATAAAACTATCTATGTTATCGAGCTACAGCAGTTGCTTTAACAACGATGTACGGTTCTTGGAGAGATTTCCGATAAAACAGACGAAAAATTTATATTTGATAGTTTGACAGACTTCATCACTTGGAATGAGTATTCATCCCTATGTTCTGTCCCTGACGCCCTTGCAACAAAGCAGTTATCTTGTCGAAATAAGACAGCACAAAGTGCTATTTCTGTATAGAGTAGAGTTATTCAGTTTTCGTTCATTGTCCACCGAGACCAGGCCGACACCATGAACGATGATGAGCGAAAGCTATATCTTCAGTTATCTTGTATTTTATTTTTCGACTTGAGCCCTCCCAACTAGCAAAGTAGTGCTATAAGCTTTTGGTAAAAGAACCATTCAGCCATAAAAGCTCTATTGTTGTTGCCTGAATACCAAAATGCTGGCTTAATGTTGTGTGGAATGCAATTTGCTTTCTGCAACATATTTGCTCTAAAATGAGGTGTTTAAAATATTCTTTAGCATAGTTATACAACACCTTATAGGACAAATTTTTAACTGTTGCATAAACGTTTATACAACTATTTTATACGGCACATTTGCACGTTAGTCAAACTGGTTGTGTTGTGGCATCCATGGTAACGTTTATAAAACAAACCCGAGCCTTGCCCTTTTGCTGTGCAAATATACCATTTTAACCAACAAATTGCTCCAACGAAAGCACTTATACAACTGTTGTTTAGTAACTGTTAAAGGCTGTACATATGCAACAATATTACAACTTTTGTAGTACAAAATTGCTGTGGTCGGCATACATTTGTTGCTAAATATGTTGGTATACAACTTCACCATAACCTAACTTTCTGCTGTCATATTTTTGTTAAAATGCCATAATTAATGTTTTAAGACAAACAACGCATGCATATTGATTCAAAAGGTTTTATCAACTGTTCAAACAGAAGATATAGATCTGGTACAAATTCTGGGTAAATCATTCGACTCTGCCGGTATTTCATTTCAGACATTAATTTGTCAAATTGTTGTATAACACCTGCAGGCAACACCAAAATATTCTAATAAACTAAAGACAACATGGACGATGCCATGATTATACACAACCACCCGCCATGTTGGGCAAACATTTATTCCTCTATTTAATATCAAATAATTATGTTTCAGTTCGAAATTACAGATATAATTTGATAAACATTAGTGTAAATGTCTGTCTAAATATAGGATTTGTGGAAGATTTGGCGCAGATAAGTTCAGTTTTCTATCTTAAAAATCTGGACATACTTTTGATCATTATCAAAATATGCATGAAATAAGAAGCCCGTAGAAATTGCGTACCTACTTTGCACGATAATCACAATAAAATTTGCTGCGCAAGTAATTCAATAGCCCTATATCACAGTGTAGAAGTTTATCATATACCTGTGTATGAAATTCACAATGGCCGATATGTAAGTAAACAAGATGACTGTAATGTGTTAGTTATATATTCTTCACTTCGTTTATGCAATACATAAGAAATAGTTTGGTTGCAATAAAGTAGAATCACGTAACAGAATAGTTGTATAGTTGACAAACACTGAATCTTGCACTGACGCAAATCTCCTATAGCGGCTGCAAGAGGCTTACACTTTTGTTGTATAAATGTTACCTGCAGCCCTTATACAACCTCTTAAATGACTGAAGTGTCCTATTAAGTGTGCCCATTCCGCTTGTATAGCTGTTCTAAGAGGGTTTTGCCAATGTTCTTACAGTATACAATGCTGTGTAAGGAATACTGTATAATCATTTTTGCAACTCTAATAGGAGTGATAATTGTTAGTTGGGCTTCTATCACAAATGCTCTTGTTCCACTAGTGCTTCAGCATTTCTATAGCCTCCCGGTAAACATCTGACTGCTGAAAAACATTCACATTCACTATTTAGTTTTTTAATGTTTTGGGTAGGCGTTGCCGTTGTAGGTGAACCATCAACAAATTTGTTTTCATAAGATATTTTTTCTCACTCAAAATTTCAACACCAACGTGCATCATAGAAAACTGTACTCCCTCTAACAGTCGCCGCGTCGTTTTTCATTAATTAGCGTTATTTTATTGCTCAACCATTTCTATTAGAGCCCTCTATTGGAACAACTTAGCCTAAAAATTACATCACCTTCAAATAAGCAACTGCAAAGAGCTCTAGGACGAAGCGTAGGAAATAGTCTCTTCTATAAAGCATCCCACAAACCGGCGCGAAATATTCGCTTTGGCTGCGAAAATTTCGCGGCGATGAATTCGCGATCAGATTAAAACGCGGCGGTTTACGGACAGGCTCAGACTTGTGCGAAGCGAATGCGATTGTTCCAGCGTTTTTATCGCGGCGTATTTCAGTTCGCCTTTGACCGCGTTTTTGACGCCGTTCTTCAAAAATTCGCAATGGCAAAAACGGAATTATTGATAGAAATAGTGAAAAAGTATCCTTGTTTGTATGATTTGTCGAACGATGAATACAGGAATGTGAGAAAGAAAGACAAGATTTGGATGGAAATAGGAAAAGAATTAAATACAAATGGTATGTACCTAATATTTCTTATTAACGTGTTAAATAATTTACAGTCTACACAAATGTGAAAACGAACATTCTATATATTGGGCATAGGCATATCAGAATTAAAATAATTTACGAATTTGTCATGAGTAGAAAATGCTAGCCTTGCTGCCCGCCGAGGATCATTTGCTATATCAGTAAAAGCTCCAAGCACGGGTTCTGGGGGATCTAAGAATTGAAAATATTTGTCATCGCCACTTTTACTTCGTAAAAAATTGTGTAAAACACATGATGTACGTACAATTAGAATAGTAGTATCTACTTTAGTTTCTAATGGCCTGTAAAATATTCGCCATTTTTGAGACAAAATACCAAACGCATTTTCCACGACCCTTCTAGCTCGACAAAGTCTTACATTGTATTTCTCTTTTCTGACGTCTGTTAAAGTCTGCTTATAAGGAAATGGTCTCATAAGGTATGGTTTTAAAGCAAATGCTTCATCACCAATTAAGACGTACGAGCAGATTTCATTTTGCCCAGGGAGAAATCTAGGTGCAGGGACACTCATTAAATTTTGTTCAAATCGTTTTCCCATGTTTGAGGTTTCGAAAATACCCCCATCACTATTTTTTCCGAAACCACCAATATCAACACATATAAATTTATAGTCCGGGCCAACAATGGCCATAAGTACTATTGAATATTTATGTAAATAGCACCAGTAATTGGAGCCACTGTTGTTAGGTCTCTTGATTGTTACATGTTTACCGTCCACGCTGCCAATGCAATTGGGAAATCCCCATCTATTTTCAAATTCTTCAGCACATTTTTTCCATATATTCTCTGTTGGTTCTGGTAAATATATATGCTCCATATGTCTGCATATCGCTTCACAGACTTCTGTTACGATTGCACTCACTGTTGTAAAGCCAACTCGAAAGCTATGCCCAATGGTATAGAAGGTGTCACCAGTGGCAAGGAATCTATAAAAAAAATCGTTTTTAGGTGATGAAGTAAAAAAAAGGTGGAAGAATATCAGAGACACATTTGCAAAATATATAAAATCTACCAAACCAAAGACCGGCCAAGCAGTGGGCTACATAAAAAAATGGCAGTGGGCTGACTACATGGAATTTTTCCGTCCTTTTTTGGCATTTGCCAAAACGTCATCTAATGTGAAAGATATTGACGTCATACATTATGAGACTGCTGAATTTAACTCAAATATATATCAGGAAAGGGCTGGAAATGTAGAAACCGAAAATTTGGAAGACCGCGGCCATGGAGAAGATGAAAATGCTGATGTAGATGCAGAAGATGCACAGAACGCCTCGGCAACACAGACAGCACCACCTTCTTCATTGAACACTACAGCAGTGACTACTCCAGGGCACACCTTTCCGCAGACTGCAACTACACCAAAATATAAAACGAGCAGAAAACGCTATGAACCACCATCTTCGTCTGTACAACAGCTCATTAATTATTTTGAAGGTAAAAAACCTAAAAAAGAGAACGAGGCCATTGATTCACTTTTCTTGGCACATGCACAGACTGTGAAAACACTTCCCTTAAAGCGTCAAGCCCGAATAAAACTAAAAATAGCCGAATTAATAGCGCACGAAGAATTTGAACATATTGAAGAAATGCCTTCAGCGTCTACCCAGAATTCTGCAAGTATGTATGATAGTAGTATGTCGTCCTTCCCAAGCGGCACTGGGTTTACTCCAATAATATACCCAACAGAGGAGCCAAATTCTGCCTCGAATTATTTAGCAACATTTAATCCTAGTGGCAACATGTAGTCCAATTATTACAATAAAATATTTATTTCACGATCCCTGAAGTTTTCGTATTCGATAAGCCTACTAATTTTAATACATATAATTTTTTTACCTGAGTGTAATAGCAAGTCGTTCTTCTGGCGAAATAGCTTCACGATAATTTGTGTCAGATTTTCGTATTTCATCTTTCACCAAGTTCAATATTTCATCGAAACACTCTGGAGTCATTCTAAAATATACGTAAAAGCGCTGTTCATCCAGCCGAAGTTGTGGCATCAAGGTATGGTATTCCCCAAATTTATTTCGTTCCAAGTTAATATCATGTACCCACTTCCTTCGTTTCCTAAACAAAATTGAAAATATTTGTTTTATGTACTTCGTTAAACTTAATACATACCCGACTATCAAATAGCGTTAAATAAACATAACTTACCGTGCATTTTGTTCCTCTTCTACAGCAAGAAATAGAAGTGCCTCCTCTTCTTCTGAAGACGAGCTCATTGCAAAAGGCAAAAATAAAATGTACGCAACCTGTCGAAACCTTCACGTTTGCGGAGCGAATAAGACGCCTTGGTATGAATAAACAGGCGAAACAGATTGCGAATTTCGCTCTGAATTTCGTTGCGAATACTTCGCCGCGATTATTTCGCGCCGGTTTGGGGGATGCTTAAATGAGTTTATTTTCATTTTTTCTCACCAGAGCAAATATGATCACTATTTTTTCGTAACAGATATAACGGCGAGTTAAAACGTGAATACGAAGCTCAGCTATGCCTGTTCTCAGCTTTGCGTGACAGATACAGTGAACGTGAATTGGCCAAAGATGTTGTGGCTAATCTGAAGAAGGACATCGATGATGGAAAAAAATCAAATAATCAGGACAAACCTGCTGAAGGTGGAGATCCGCCGAATAACTAGTACTGCCATCAAGAAAGCGCCCCATTTTTAGCTTATAATTATATCAATTAAAAATTTAAAAACATATTTCTTTGAATGTTTTATTTATGTTATATTATTCCAACAGTCCGGTTGACTATCGAGGGATACTCAATCGAATAATGCTGAAATTCAGTGATCTTGTATCAAAGTTAATGTATACTGTGATGGAATTTACACAAAGTTCCGTTTTTTGCCTCTAGACTAATCACTTTAAGCATTAAGCAATGGAAATAAGCTTGTGTGGGTTCACAAAAGAAAACGTCATTTTTGGAAATACCTATGTGTTAAAAATGCCTTGAAGGTATTATGTATATTATTTATACAGTGCTGACCAAAGTTTTCCCTTTTTGTTTTCCATATGTCCGACAGAGAGAGACCACGTTGTCTTGCAACGACCACGGGGAGGTGTTACAGCCGCGATTGGCGCCCTCTCCCACTATCGTTGCCAGGCAACGTGGTGACGAGACTTTCATCGCACGTTATTTCTAATACGCTTCTTCCCCTTCTCTCTCTCTTTCTCTCTCTCTCTCTCTCCTACACATAAGACTTCGGCCAGCACTGTATTTTCTGTGACTGTACCTTTCAAACCGGTGCTTTACCTATGTCTGCACTACTAGAAACTTATCATTTAGGCCAGAGTTCCCCAAACTTTTTTGTGTCGTAGACCCCTTGCCATGTTTTTCCGTGTTGGGTAGACCCCCTACTTACCTGATATTGATTTCCTGTAAATTTCTAACTGTAGTGAAGTTTAGTGTTAAAAACTTAAAGTAAAAACACATGCTAATTTATACATTTATTAATTGAATTTAAATTAAAACTACTCAACATAAAATTTTGTATCTGCTATGTAAAATATACGTAACATTAAATAAACAAATGTCTGACCTATAAGTGCCCGCATTGGGGAATAAGTGCTATAAAGGGGAGTTCTTTAAAAAAATCAATGCGGGCACTTATTCCCAATGCGGGCATTTATTGGTCAGACACCAATAAACATAAAATAAACTATAAATAAAATAACATAAGCAATAAGTCAATATTTTTAGTGAGAAGGATGAACCTGATGCATTAATAATAAATTATCAACATTTGGCGTCAATTTTGTAAGGGTTAATCTTAAATCTCCTCGGCTAATGATGTCCAGTCTGTTTCTTTTTTTCGTTAGGAGATTGGTAACAGCGCTGAACCCCCTTTCCACTAGGTATGACGATGGAAAGAAAATTGAAAATTTCCTCGCTATATTCCATAATACGGGATAAGTAACGGGTATGTTGTTTTGCAGCCAGAATTGCTGATATCCGTTTTTAAACTGAACCTTAAGTTCTTCGTTTGTACTTAGTTCAGTCAGTTCCTCTTGTATTATGACATTCGTTTCTTCTGTGTCACCATATGGATTAATTATCCACGGTGGTATTACTATAGTCAAAATATCCCCAAACTTAGATTCAAAATCTGAATAGAGGGCATTTAAATGTTGAACGTAAGTTGAAACGTCGTCTTCCTGGCAGCTTGTCTGTGACAAATTGGGGAACTGAGAAAACTCGCCCCGTCCAATATTTTGCTTCATTAGTTTAACTCTGGCAAGAAACGCTGATAAGATGGACTTTGTTTTAATCAAATTTAAACTGTCGCCTTGTAATTGCAAATTAACCATATTAAATTTTGTAAACAAATCTGTTAAATAGGCGATGTCTGTTTTCCTGTTCATTAAATTTTATCTTTAGTATCCAGAAATTCTAAACTAGTCTCAAAAAGTGCAAAAGATCTTGTTAAACATAAGCCTTTCGACAGCCAGCGTACTTCAGTGTGAAAGAGTAATTGATGAAAGTGTTCGTCATTTTCTTCACACAACTGCGCAAATAACCGCGTATTCAACGCGTTGCTTCTGATTCAATTTACTGCATCAATTACTAAATGAAGTGATTCATGCAATCTAACACTCAAATTTTTAGCAACTAAATGTTGTCGATGGATAACGCAATGTATTGCTAACACCCCTGACACATTTTGTTTTAAATAGCTTATAAATCCACGATAACGTCCTACCACGGCAGGTGCTCCATCTGTAGCTACTGATATTATATTTGATAAAGGAATTGCTTTTTCAATGAAGTAATCCTTCAAAACATGAAATATTGATTCACCTGTAGTGTCGGTTATCAAAGTTCTTGCGAAGAGCAGTTCTTCGTAGATTTCTTGATTCATAATAAAACGAACATATGCCAATAATAATGCTGCATTATCAGGTAAAGTTGACTCGTCCAGTTGTATAGAGAAATGGGTCGTTTGCAAATAATTACATAAGAAGCTTTCAATATCAGAATTCATTTCATCAATACGTCTTTCAACAGTATTGTTGCTTAAGGGAATTCTTTTAATGATATCAGATGCAGGTTTGTGTAAAACAGTTTTTAAAACCTCTTCAACGGCTGGCAAAATTAACTTCTCTCCGGTAGTATGCGGTTTTCCGGATTTTACTATAAGTAACGAGATATTGTAAGACGCCCGCAAACCATCATCATTTCTTTGTGACGTCGAAGCGAACATTCTGTCCAGTGTAGGTCTCTTCTGAAATTTATCTTTGAGTGTTTGAAAGTATTTCAAATCTTTCTCTGTTTTATCAGGGTGGCATCTTCTCAGATGATCTTGCAGTTTAGATGGTTTCATAGCGTCATTGCCCAAAACTTTGTTGCATAAAAGGCACATAGGCGATTGTTTGTCCGGCAATTATGGAATGAAGCCTAATTTCAAATAATCAACACTGTTCTGTCTACATTTCTTTTTAGATTCGAACATGGCATCTGCGGGCAAAATTAAATTATTTAAATTAAACAGAAAATCCAGCAGCTGTATATTAAAAATATTTTTTGATTTTTCCGAAAATATTCCATAATTCGAACATCTTCTTGCAACAATTAGCTCGAATTACGGAGATTGCACTGTAATTATATTACCGATTGCTAAAACTTTCAAAAAGAAACTATTGAGGAGTACTCGTGTAATTTTGCATGATTGAATATTTAACTACTAATAACTAAAGTCATGATTGGCGTAATTTATCTATCTTTGCTAACTACGAGTACAAAACTATAATTTAATAAAAAATAATGTACTTACTTTTCTCCAGCACCCTCAAACAAAATAACACTGAATTACTATAATTTGTGTGATACACTATATGTTTATATTTTTTAAAATATTTTCTTAGCACTTTCTTTTCAAGATTCAGGAAACGAATAAACGTATTTGTCCCACATTCGTATTTATAGAGTGACGAATTGAACAAGTCAGTGCAAGGTAGCGAAGCTCTGAGACTGCGACTCTCAGGTTTTTACAAGTTCAAAATGTATTGCGACCACAAAGCGAATACCAACATCCTACAACTTACAGCATTTTATAAACATATATAATAAATTTTTTACTTCATAGGTACTTTTATAAATAATGTATATGTTTTAATATTATAAGATAGTATGATGTAAGTAAATAGGTACTATCAGTGTATGTGTTGAGATTCACTATCGTGGACCCCCATATTCATTTCATGGACCCCCCAAATTTTTTTTCGCTGACGTACACCCCTTGCAGGTTGTCATAGACCCCTAGCGGTCGATATAGACCACTTTGGGAATCAATGATTTAGGCATTCTGGATTTGTCTACAAATCGTAAATGCTGGGGGGTAGACGAGCCATGTACACTCTTTTAACCATGTCAATGTCATAATTACATTAAACCTGCAAGTGTGACTGTGTGCTAGCAAGGCAACGTTTTTTTGTTTCAAGCCAGTGCCTTGTGTGTTAGCTGCGGGCCTTCTCTGCGAGGAACTCGTAATTTTTGGAATTACACCTCGTTGTGGTACAGTTAAATCGCCGGCCGTCTGTGAAGTGTCAACGGCATTTTAGCCGTGCACCAGCAGATAGACTGCTTCTGCAGCCTGTTTCTAGCTTTTATGGATCCGCTCATCTTTAACTGAACAAATATACAGGATGGACAGGAAATTGGTAAATGTAGAACCGCTGTTAAACGCTAGCTGCGAAAATAACCTATAACCAAATTGTTGATCGAACCTGGTAACTTTTTATGCAAACATTTTCTTTTCAAAAACATTTAAACAAGTGTATAATATTCTGGCAAGGTTTTATTCAAGTGTCATAGAGGGTGTTCCTTAATGATATGCGAATATTTAAGGGTGTGAATCTACATGAAAAATTAATGTTAGTTTGCTTTATAAACTTTGGTACAAACATGTTTCCTTACAAAAACTCGGGGTGTTGAAGTTTTAGGATAAAAATGGAAATTAATTAATATTTTCAGAACCGCTTCAGATACTTCACTGATATTTAGTACATAGTGAAAGTTAATATATATTTTTCAATGCAAAAATAATTTTTAGCTTTAACAGTAGCGTGCGTACGGGTATTGACTTCGATATTTTTTAAGAAAAAACTGGTATGGCAATGGTTTTTTACTCAAAAATGGCGCATCGAAGGAAAACAATTCAAGAGAGATGATTTGTTTTGAATTGAACGGGGTATTCAAAAATATGTTTTATTTGGCAAAAAACCATTGGCGTACCTGCTAAAGTCTATATTTAACGCAACGCTGTCCACCATGGCGAAATGCTGCAGGCAATGCTGTAGTAGGATATATAGCGAACGACTGAGAGGTTTTACTGGGTATGCCGCATTATGGAGAATCTCACATTTCGGGCGGAGAAGGCTGAAAGAACAGCGCTGTCGAGCTTTTTCACCTGAGAGTGACTATAAAAACTTTCTCTGTCAAAAAAAGTATCGTGACAACACCGCAATTAATACGATGTCGATGGCAAAAAGTACGAACCTGACAAAAATCAACCCTGAAATCTGACTTAATTCCAAAATGCAAAATCTCTTGGAAAGGTTAAATAATGGTTAATAATAATAATAATGATGATTATACATAAGTATAAAAACGCAAAGTGTCACTTAAAAACGTTTTTCAACTTAACCCAACAAATATTTGTGTAAATTTTCTAGTCCCGATGAAAACAAAAAAGAAAAAAAAACCTGTAACGAGTTCCTATTCATGGCCATGGTCTACTTACTGGGCGATGAAATCAGGGATAAAATGTTTTAATCTTTTTTTGAAATTCTTCATAGAGTAGTGAGTGAACTCGGTATGCAACGCGTTGTATAGCTTGATAATATGTTCGACCTTTCAAATAGAGATGTTGAATGTCTCGCGATAACCAAGAGATGCTTATTCTTTGTGATCAGTTGATTGACATCTGAGTATCCGATAAACTTGGTTGATAGATATGGAGGGGCTTGTGTTGTGATTACTTTATGGGTCAAGGTCAATACGTACATTTTTTGAACACCCAGCTCACGATATTTATGTGATACTGTCTCAAATTTTCTCACTCCACAAGCAAATCTCAGACACGCATTTTGAATAGTCTGAAGTCTCCTTTTCTCAATCGATCTTAGTGCAGGCACATAAATACAGTCACAGTAGCGAATTCTAGACCATATTAAGGTTTCGCACAACTTCAGCCTGAGACCAGTATTCATACTTTTCCTATGAGGAAATAATTGCTTCAAGACACCGAATGATGTTCTTCACAGTTGACTAACATGTTTTTCAAACCTCAAATCAGAATCAATCCAAAGTCCTAAATTCTTGCACTCATTTCTTATAGGGATTGGTTGGTCTAAAATGCTCAATGATAGTAATGGTTTTGCCTGACCTTTTCTGATTTTTGGTCCCAATATAACTGGGGCCAATTTTAAGATTATGGGCACAAGATACGTTAGATAAATTCATTAAATCATTATTAATCCAATGTTCGGCATTTTTCAAATCTTTAATATCAAAGCCAAAGTACAATTGAGTGGCGTCAGCATAGTGATGAATACTGCAGTGTTCAACGTACTCCTGGAAGTCAGAAATGTAAATTGAGAACAACAATGGTCTTAGAATGGAACCCTGTGGTACCCATAGTTTTACTGGTATCTCCTCCGAGATACTTGACCCAATCACAACCCTCTGACTTTTGTCAGTGAAATAACTTAATACAAAATTAATTGCAGATTCCGAAAAACCAAAGTATATAAGCTTTTTCACAAAAATAGATGGTTATAGAGTATTAAAAGCCTTTGTATAATCAAGTAGTAACATGCTAAATTTTCTTGATGTACCCATCTGATTGTCATCCATGATGCTAGCTAGAACTGTTGTTGTGCTGTTGTTTTTCCTGAAACCCGATTGGATTTCAGGAATGATACGATTAGAGAAAACGTAGTCAGATACCTGATGTTTCATAGCTAGTTCTAATAACTTGGAGAATGCTGGTAGTATATTTATCGGCCTCAGATGTGAAATATCTGTAGGGTTACTTATTTTAGCTAGGGGGAGAACACTTGCTTTTTTCCAACAGTTGGGGAAGTTTGACGATGCAATTGCATAGTTGATGATGAAAGTTATATTTTCAATCAGCAAATCGAATATGATTGTTAGCATATTTAGGTTGATTCCGTCAACACCCAAGGCATTACTTTTGATACTCCGGAAAAATCCCATAACATCGTGGCAAGTTATTTTGGAGAATGTTAATTGTCTGGCTTGCTGGCTGGTGATATATTTTTCCAGCAGTTTCATTTGTAAGTCAGACTTAACAATAGTAGATAAACTAGAAAAATACTTATTTATATCATTGACGCCTTGCAGATGCCCAGGTAGCCCTTTCAAATTGCTGCTGTAAATGCTAAGTCTCCGATGACAGCTCCAGGTAGCCTTAGAATCTTTTTTTTGACAGGATGAATTCCATAAAGGATTTTTTCTCCCTACTGATAGCCTTCGCAACTTTGTTGCGTATTTCTTTATAAAAAATCCACTTACCTACCAATTTATTCTGCTTGTACTTATTATATGCCTTATCTATCGATTTCATCATTTCTTTTACGTTATATGTAAACCATGGTGCCGGAGGCTTTGATATTCTAACAGTCCTCACTGGTGCACTAACGTCAAAAAGACGATTCGCGTTACCATTCAGAAAATATACCATACCAATACAAACTTGTAACAGATACAGATGCTACTATATCTTCGATAAGCATGCTTCTGCTGGGACGTTTAACAAACATTCACACTATAATTGAAAACAAGCACCTTACTCTCATCTTAGTGTTTCAACTGAAAACGTGCCATTTTCAAACTATCAAACCTGTAACGGTATACAGGGTGTTTCAGTTTATTGTTGCATAACTTTAAGATTCGATAGAACTTTTAAAATTAATGCATAAAGTCTATATAAACATGGGTCGAAATACAGGGTGATTAAATTTACTTTCTAAAATAGTTTTTTTTAAATATTTCGAACAATATTTGATTTATAACAGTGAAAATTGGTATACTAGGGTTTTTTGGTACGACAAAACGAACCATGGGCATAGTTTCACTGTAGCCGCTAGAGGGCGCTCTCTGCTGTACCTGTAGTGTATTAAAATGACCGAAAATTTTGCTTAGTGCAATTTTTTGCTTTTTGAATAAAAAATCTGATTATTCGCACTTTTCAACATAAAAAAGCTTTCCTGTGACCAGATTTACTCGTATGATTCTGCGTGAGTTTGATAGAGATCCGACCACAAGTGTTAGGATAGTTTCTGGTGCCTTGGGAATTTC